ACAGCCAACCCTGAACTGTGAGCCAGTGGAAGCCAGGCTGGACTAATGGTAGGAGACATTATTTATGTCATTGTTACTTTATATCATATTTGTCTTTTGAGATCTGATGTGATATTGTCCTGTATACAGTTCTATGTCTAAACTAATTTAAGCATGTCCAAAACAAATAAGCTGAACATTTAGATGGGTTGTGCTTGATGGACAAACAATTTGTTGCTAGGCCACCTGGGGTTGTAGTATTGCCTCGGCTCCACTGAGGTTTTGTCACCTCGCCTAAGTTCACTTTTGTGTTAAACAATGCCAAACCCATAACTCATCACCTCTACTCACTTAAGTTTTTACGTTAGGGCTGCACGATTAAATGAAATAAGATCTTTATGGCTTAGTGCGATAATCAAATTGCTAATTTATTTGAATAAATAAATGCTCTGCGTGTTTCAGAGTGAGACATGGTACTGTGTTCTTACACGAGAGCATTTCATTTTCTACTGGTTTTTGCAGCATCCCAGAGCGTCTTGGTATGTGGTAAATGCAGCTCCACACAAACTGCATCTCTGCATCTGCTCTGAGTTTTGGTCGCTTTAACTTGAATTTTGGAACATCTTCCCATACTTGTAAGCACTTGCCAACAAAACTGGTTGAAAACAGCCATAAATATTAGTATTGTAATTTTGTAGTTGTAGTTAAAGTAAAATTTTATTAGAATTTTTTTTTTTTCATTTTAGAGTGAATTATTTAAATGATAATAGCCCATTACTTATTTTGTTTTTATTTAGTGTTTTATATTTTAGTTTTTTATATTTTATAGCCATATTTATAAATTAATCACAAAATTCTAGCCAAATTGTACAGTCCTACAAACAAGTACAGCTAACTTGGATTTTAATTTGTTAATCAGAAAAATTGCAATTAATGTTTTTTCTTGAAATTGTGCAGCCCTACTTTAGCGTTCATGCTTCTGACCTTATTCACAAAGGATTTTGATAATGGTTTAAGAAATTTCTGCAATGATTTCCATTAAAGGGTCTAAAATTGCGTAAAATACTGCGTGATGATGTAGAAGTGCTCTAATGTCATTTGACCCCAAGACCCTTCGAGCATTTCAGAAATTAGCACCCTCATGTTTTCTTTGTAGTTCTGTCCCACCTCATTCGCTTGGCAACTCCCATGCTGTAGACTGCTAGTAGTCTGTCAATAGTGATATTGCTAATGTAGTTTTAGTTGGTTGGCTCAGAACCTTCGAGGCGTGGCTTATTTAATCCATGACCTCTGCCATCACTCTCATTAATAGATTGGCGAGACATGATCCTGAATGAAAACGCAATTCATCTGCAACAGGCTGAAGCTGGAAAAAAATGTCAGCTGCAACATTTTGACTCTAAGCCAACCAATGCAATGCTGCTGTTGTGATTTGAGCTCATGTAGTTGTTGCTTGTATTCCATCGCTCACAGCTGCATGACATAATCCATTTTATTTTCCTTCTGTGGTAGACGAGCATGACTTTGCGCCAAACCACAGATGCATGTACGCTCTGAGTCCACCTGACTGCTGCCACCCTCTGCTTCCTGGCTTTTGAAACTGCCTATCAGAGGGCTGGTGGAGGCGGGGCTTAGCTAGACCCCACCCCTGTGCTGACCCTCTGAGTGAGACTGGCGCCTCCTGATGGACCAGGGTGGTAGCGAGCAGCCTGGGGCAGAGGAGCCAGACTCTGGGGGTCGAGCAGAGCGGGAGGCAAGCAGGAGGGCATCCGAGCCTGATCACGGCCTGTCCAAAATTACCCACAATGCCTTGGAGAACATGGGCGCACTGGGCCACGGCCTGAAGCACTTCTTCCAACCTCAGCGCAGACGCTCGTCCATCTCTCCGCACGACTACGCCTCTTCCTCCACAGGCCCCATCCCTGAGCCCCCAGAGGCAGGGCCAGAGTTGGGGGAAGCGCCTGCCGTAGCGGTCGCCACCCCTAACTCTGACCCCCACACTTCCGCCCCCCCTGCAGCTCTGAGCCGCGTGCTGCAGCAGATTCGAGGCCCCCCCATGATGAAGAGAGGGACCAGCCTGCAGAGCCGCCGCAGCAAGGCAGGGGGGGGAGGGGAGGCCCCCCAGAAAGGCAGCCCCCAGATCCACAGGCGCAGTACCCAGGAGACCTTGCTGCAGGCGGGACGACCACGTTCCTCCTCCACCACCGATACACCCAGCAGCCCAGCTTTGGCAGACATGTTGCTGACCTCGGGGTACCACTCCACCGAGGAGGCTGATCGGGTAAGTGCCACATGAACGGCACAGGTTTGTCTAGGTGATTTCTTCCATGATTGCGCTGTGATGGTCATTGTTGGTGGCCAAGCTGCAGTTTCCCAAAGTTTCATGGACAGAAAAGTGATGTTGGACAGTAAAAAAAAAATCATGAACCTCTTTTAGATAAGTTGTCAGTTAGGCAAAAAATGACCTTGCTGGGTAACACTGATGAGGTTTTCATAAAGAATGTGTTTAAAATGGCAAACCAATCAGTACTATTTTTGCTATAAATGTCTTTGGCTGCATTCGAAAGCTCTAAAATGCTGCCTTTAGTGGCAGCATTCCAAGGCGGGAAGGCATCAAGGCAGGTCCGAATCCAAATTCTGCTTCTCTTCCTGTTTCCGGAGGTACCTTCTTCTGATCGAATTATGAAGGCAGCGTGGATGTATCCTTCGCTGCCTTTGATATCCCACATTCCTCTGCATTCAATTCCGTGATTTTTAAGCTAAAAAAAAAAATAAAGGTGGTGTCTGAAAGTTGCGTTTGGTGGTCAGTTCATTTCTAGTGAGAAATCTGTATTATAGTAATTAAATATTTGTTTAGTTGTCATCAAAACTCATTCTATTTTGTTGTGGAGCATTAAACCGTTACTCTGCCTCAGAAGCCTGTCCGAAATCAGTTTATGAGGTGCCTTCGTGCAAAAACATTGCCTAAAAGGGCAGCAAGTCAGCTGCCAAGGCTTTCAGACAAAGCTTTTGTTTTCAATTAAAAGTATTTCTTTGAGTTTTCTGTATTATTATAACTGAATTTAAATAATCTTCTTGAACTTGTATTAAACTTGTAAAAATATTCAACGTAAAATATATCTTGAATTATATTCATTTGTTTAAAAAGCCTTCTAAGTTATTTTAAATAAATATTAAACCATGTAAAAGTCATACATTTTAAATGAGGAATTTTAAAATTCTAAATGTTAATGTAAAAATAATAATTTAAAGGTCTCTACAGTCTGCTTAGGCTTTCAGTGGAAAATGCAGCCCTGAACTTCTGGCCTGACCAAGCATACAGAAAATAAATCCTTGATGTTGAGTTTTACAAAAAAAATTAAAAGTATTCCAGGATGCCTTGCACATACTTGCAATCATTTTGCCAAGGTAAACATGATCAGTTTTCAATAGGCAGTGATAGTAGGTTGTTTGAAAGTGATGGGAAGTTAGATTTGAATTTAACAGCAATCTGGTCAGATGGCAATCTATTGCCTGCTGCGAGTGTCTGAAAGAAGCCTCCAGGATGGATGGATGAGTTGACAGCATTCACAGGTCAGGAAGCTTGTGTGGCAGGTCACTATGTTCTTAAGCCCTACTATATTTAGCCAGGTCTTTGGATGCACTTCAGTTCAGAGCACTTCTGTAGGCAGCATTGAGCATGTCAAAATCATAGCCTTTGTGCTTTTTTTCCAACCAGGATGTGGGATCAGGGTAACTGTTTGCTTTTTTGTGTCCTCAAGGATACAGTCATGGTTAAGTTTGCTCTTGCATGACAGATGCAGCAACTTTATTTAGAACCGTAGTTCGGATAGTTGCAAAACCAGTTACTCTTCTGCTTAGCCTTTCCCCATTACTAGATGCTTTTTCCTGCTGCTCACTCAAAATAGCATTCAGAATTCATTTACCTGGAGAAATGTTGTCCAAGACTACTGTATTAAGTCTCTCAAGGGTAATTATGCTTACATAGTACTATGCTTTTAAGCATGCCTTTTTCAACAGCTAAGCATTTCTACCAGATAGACTAAAGGGTCTGGGTGACTGCCAAAGTGATTCGACTCACCTGTTGCTGGAGAACTTAGCGGCACCATCCAGAATGTTCCTCTCTCAGGGGAGTGTCCAAACATAAGCCCTCTCGTTTATTTCAGACCACTGCGTCAGCCATGACTTGCTCAGTAAATGAAGTTTACGATGATTTTTAGCTGGGTATGGTATGCTGTTTTTTTTTTTGTTTGTAAGTTGAAAAATACTGCAGTTTGTCCATCAGCTAGCCCCTATCTGTGATTACAGTTTCGTTTTTACAGTTTAGTTTTGTTGTCAGCAGAGTTGGGGTACTTGGACTCGGACTCAGACTGCAATTGTGAATGAACTTGGACGGACTCGGACTTGGATATTTTGGACGCAGACATTTTTCAGAGTACAGACGAATCCATGTCATGTGTAATATAAAATTTTCAAATAAGTAACAAAATAAAATTAATATAAAAAGACATTAATAAATGTCTCCCACTTAAACTCAATTGATTAAAAACTAGGACTCGACAAGGTGGACTCGGACCCAACACTGGTTGTCAGTGAAACTTGAGGACAACGTATTTTGTCACCGAGTTAGCTCAGCTCTGTAAGAGGCTTTAACACCTTTGTTAATCAAACAGAACTGCGCTTCTCTGATAAACAGGGAGAAAATCCTCTGATGGCCAGTTAGGTGTGAAAAAAGCATCAAAAGTCAGCTGTAATGTCTCTACAGGCATTGTCTGGGTCTTATCAAATGGGCTGTTGGCCACGTGATCAGTTCACCTAGTTTTCCTCTGCATGCGTGTCCACATCTACCCATGTGTCTTATTGCAATAGGGGAATTAAAAATTTGCAGTAAACACCTGATCGTATTGGCAATAATAATTCCTTTTTTCATGGCCGAACAATGCTGGTGGGTCTTTTAGCCAGTTTATAATGACTCTCATTGATGCTTAGATCATTCGTAGCTCTTTATCTACAATCAGTGAAGGCCATATCACTGATAATCTGGTTTCGACTCGTCTGTCAATGGGTGGAGGGACAGAGTTCATTGCATTTCAAGGTTGTGCTAAAGATTTAACTAGACCAGATATTACTTATAAACAGTAGCCTGCATTAATCATACAAAAAAAAAGCAGAAAGAATTTAGCGAATGTTACATTCTTTCCTTAATGTTGGTTCCCTTATCATCTTCCTCAGTTGATGAAGTGGTGCAGTGTGCCATTTTTTTTATTTTATTTTTTTATCAGTGAATGTTCTGCATTATCTCAGAATTTGAGGGCTATGTCATAGTACAGAGGTCCAAACTGTCAACGTCACCGGAGACTAGTATAGTCACTCACATAGTTCAAATGTGGCATATCTTTCGATATGGACTGCACTGAAAGTGAACCATCGTTAATGGTAATTCATTTCTATTTTTTCTAATGTTGTAGGAAAATAGAGTGCAAAATCAATTATTTAAATTTTCTACTATTTTATTATCTAAGTTAATAATGTATTTGTCACTAACCTTTCTAAGGCTGGGTCACAGTCATGGTTGAATACATTGCAGGGAGTAACAATAACATAATTGGATCGAATGAAACTTTGTGTCACTTTTGTCCAGTACAAGAAATGTGCTTATTTTGATAACCTTCATCTTTATTTGGTAAACTGTAGTAAATTATTAAGAGATGCACCGATGTTAAAATTATGACCTATAATTATTTTCGTGTTTCAATGAGTTCAGTGGGTTGATATTAAAATTCTGTTTTGTCTGTATTAAAAAGAAAACGCTAAAATCTAAATTCTGTTTAAATGCTACTAGCCAAATTAAGCATTAAATCATAATGTACAGTATTAAAAAAGTTATTTCTTTAAAAAAAAATTCTTAAAGGTTATTTTTAATGCCATTTTTAAATATTTTGTGCTTTAGTGCTTTAAAATATTACCTTTGCAATCATCTAGCACTTACTTAAAATTTTATTTTAAGTAAATAGTGGGAGAAAAATATGGAAAATGAGAATGCAAAAATAAATATCTAATAATGGCTGATACTGATTAAATGACAAAAATCTTTAATATCGATAAATGATATGACACTAATATATTGTGCATCCCTAGAAAAGATGTAAATCTATAAATAATATTGACACAAGGATCTAATCCAGAGGTTCTCAAAATGAAGAAATGCTTCAATTACATGTTTTTTTTCTCCTATTTTCCAAATCAAAGGTCATCAATCTAAATTATCAATGCAGTGACATGAACTCTAACTATATGAAGAGTTTATTTGCATAAACCGATAAATGACACTTTAAAAAAAAATGACTTGATTGCCGTGCATTATTCTCCACATATAGCACGATCTGAACCCTAAACACGTTTTGTCAAAAAAGCCGGTTTTGTCCACTTTCAAGGCATCGCGAGTTCACGTTTTACTGCAGAAGCCGACAAGCTCCCTTGTTGTTTTTGAACAGAAGCCAATAAGTCCATTTTAGCAAATCAGCGCGCTGTATTCAGGTCAGGTGACAAGGCTACTTTCACTTTGAAAAGACGTGCTAGCTGAGAGGAGTTTCGTCAAAGCTGACTAAAAGTGACCGAGGATGGATAATTTCAACGAACTTGATGAACCTGTGATATCTTCTTCAGGGCGAAAAAGGAAAATAAAAGCTGAAACGTTTTCACGGAACCTTGCAAAAGCAGCGCGTTACAATGGTGAGGGAAAAGCTCTGTGTATTGCGTGTAATCACATCCAATACAGTCTATGATCACAACAACAACAACCTTTGTCAGGCATCTACATTGTCATCTGATGAGATTACAAAGATTAAACGAATGTTTTTTTTACTCTGAAACCTGAAATGTGGAGTTATCTGCTTTTGCTATGAAACAAACTTTTAATATGTAAAAAAAAAAAACACTTTCAATGAACTTTAATTTTGTAAATTACCTGTATTTAAGTTATTATTATTATTACTGTTATCGGTTTTTGCAAATTAACTCTTCATATGTTTTTGTCTGCACAGCGCTAAATCTCACTCCTCTCTTTGCAGCAAGATCGTTTGGAGGTGTCAGGCCCTGCCGTGTCTCCCAATGCTCTGTCAACAAGCTCAGACGGTGGTCATTTCGGTGTGGATTCAGTGGATGGAACTCCAGACCCTCAGCGCACCAAGCAGGCCATCGCTCAGCTACAGCAGAAGATCCTCAAACTCACAGAGCAGATCAAAATCGAACAAACGGCAAGAGATGACAATGTAGCTGAATACCTGAAGCTGGCCAACAATGCAGACAAACAACAGAGTGCTCGCATCAAGCAAGTGTTTGAGAAGAAGAACCAGAAGTCGGCGCAGACCATCCAGCAGCTGCAGAGGAAGCTAGAGCATTACCACCGCAAGCTCAGAGAGGTGGAACACAACGGAATACCACGCCAACCCAAAGATGTCCTGCGAGACATGCACCAGGGTTTGAAGGATGTGGGTGCCAAGGTAAGGTACTTTCTTTACACTTTGGTACGTTGAAGATTGTGTGTGGTTGGAGTAGATGTGTGGTGATCTAAAATATTTTCATTCAAACTGGACTTTTTATATTAATCGTATATGACAAATGCAGTGTAGTAGACCAATAATGCACTTTGTCAACAAGGCACGTTTGGATCTTTACAGTGATTGATTAAAATGTTGGATTTTAATTGATGGAACCACAAGAATCATGATGTTTAGTCACCAGCTCATACTGCCTACTGAAGACTGGAATACACTACATATACACTACATCCAAATTTCAGCCCTGATTTTCAATGCTAGTTGCTGAAAGCAAGAGTCAGTCTGCAGATTTTGACAGATTTCACATAAAATTGGGTAGTGTACACTCTTAAAAATAAAGGTGCTTCACGATGCCATAGAAGAACCTCTTTGTCTAAATGGTTCCATAAAGAACCTTTAACATCTGAAGAACCTTTCTGTTTCACAAAAGGTTCTTTGGGGCGAAAGAAGGTTCTTCAGATTATAAAAAGGTGAGAAAGAGATGGTTCTTTAAAGAACCTTTGACTGAATGGTTCTTTGTGGAACCAAAAATGGTTCTTCTATGGCATCGCTTGAAGAACCGTTTGAAGCACCTTTATTTTTAAGAGTGTATGATGGAACCTGACTCTTAAGTTTTTTAGCTTCAGACTCTGATTCCAGAGGAAGTCAAACATGTTTGATATTTTGAGCTGATTTTAGAACACATTGTTTTTATTTCTAATGCGTATCCTAGCAACAAGGCACATTTTCTTTGAGAGTTTGTGGTGTTTGGAACAATTTGAAAGTCTGGTAGTGTGTGATCCTCAGTGGTTTAGTGTATCATGCCCAAAGTCACCAAGTGTATGATGCCTAGTGTTTTAAACTAGTAACAACACATACTTACAGTAGCTGATTCAGACGCGCCAGATTGTAATAGCAAAATCGGAATTTACCCTTTTTTTTTTTTTTTTTGAAATAGCCTTTGCACAGCCAGCCTTGTATTCTTCTAGGTTAAATCTAGGTCATCCATAAAATGCGTAGCACAGGTTTCACAGTCAAAACAGCATGCTTGTTGAGAAGGCGCTGGAGAGGATGATGATGTTCTAGATATCTGGCCTTTTAATTTTGCTGTTTTATCTCATTTTGTATGTTCATGTGTTAGGTGTGAACGTCTAGAGGAGCAGTTGAATGATTTAACAGAACTGCATCAAAATGAGATTCACAACTTGAAGCAGGAGCTGGCCAGCATGGAGGAGAAAATTGCTTACCAGTCTAATGAACGAGCCAGAGACATACAGGTGCTCATGTCCAACATTACTGTTATTTTGTTATCTTTTAGATACTATTATAGTATATATTATATCATTGGAATTAGCTTTTATTTGTTTATTTTTCATTTTAATTTGAGCATTTTTAAAGAAGGACACGATTTCTTTTCAGTGTGACATAATACCTTAAACCTGATAAGGGCCAAAAAAAGCTAGTTTTCATTTTATTTACTGATTTTCACTGACGAGTTAAAAAAGGTGTTTGATCTTAAAAAATGTGATGGACCCTTTTCACAAGACTGCGATGACGAGTTTAATGGTCATCAGCATCGTAAATCCTCTAAAGTTTTTGATTTTGATTTTTTTTTTTTTATGTTTGTACATGTATAACACCATACTTTGTATTATATCACCTTTGCATCAAATTACAAAAACCGCTAATGTGAGGGCGTTTCTAATGCAGTGTCTATGAGAGGGACGTAAATTTGACGTTGTTCTCTCTTCTGACTGCCGTTATCAGCCTCTCTTAATTTTTTTTTCTTTTTTTAAAAGTCATGAAAAGACCATCTTTTGCTATTTGAGCAAATGGGAATGCAAAAAATATATTTGTGGTACTCTCCCATTCACTGCTCTTGAAGTTAACCCAACTATGATAACTTCCGCTGCTGAGAAACCTGAAATGTGAAAAAGGTCCATTATTCAAAGATATTTTAACATTTTTTTTAACCAATCTTATTTTTGGTATATGAACTTTTAAGTGAAACAGGAGAATGTTAATGCTGAGTTTTCTGATGGGAAAGAACATTAGCTGTAATCATAAAGCTATTTTGTATCGATCTGATGGAAAACATTTAGTCTTCTAATTCGGTTTTCATAATGAAATCCATATGCGACTCACTCAGAGTCCTCTTTGAGGGCTTATTCTTAATGATATGATGCAGCTAAAATGTACATGTTCTACTCTGTTACCCTTTATTAGTCATTTTTAGTCATTTAGCAGACGCGTTTATCCAGACAACAGAAGCAATCAATTGTAGTATTAAAACAACTAAAAACGGATCCAAAACTAAAGGCTAAAACTTTATAAATACTACCTATACACATATAAAAAATAAAGAGATTAAATAAAAATGACAAATGCATACAACAAAATGTCAAAAATTAACATTTAAATGAAAAACAAAAAACAAAGCTAAAAACATATATATATATATATATATACACATACATACATACATACATACACCTTTATAAATTAAAGATATATATGATTTCATTTCCATTTAGTTTGTTGAGTATTCAAATAACTCAAATTAAATAAAACTAAAAACTTACAAGATATATACATAATAAATTCAGACATAATTTAACTACATATATAACACAACATATCCAGATGCTATTTCATTTGCACTATTTTATATTTCTCATATTGTTTATTCTGTTATATTCATTGACTTTATAAAGTCAGAATTGTGAAATAAAAAGTATTTATTTATTTTTAATTCAGTGGCGAACTTCCACATACGCACACACACACACACACATATATATATATATATATATGGAAGCTGGAATGTGCGACTATATTCCGTGTTGCCGTCTTCGTCGGTCTCAAAACTCAAAGAGGTGCTTATAATAGCAGTATATTGTCTTTTTCCGCTTGACTTGCAGTTTGCAAAGACACAATCTTGTTTCTGCAAAGACGTTTATTGTTTTCTATAAAAATGTCTGACGTTTTTACATTTTACATAGCGTGAGAACGTGAAAAAGCTACGCTGAATCCGATCTGACCGGTCAGACTGAAACGGATTTCCAGGAATGCGATTTGAATAGGATTCCAAACCACATATAAATGTAGCTTGAAACGGATTTGCACAAATTGGATTTCATGTAGTTCGCTGCCATTCAGACTATCTAAATATGATCGGATTTGCACAAAAATCGGATTTGGGCTGACAGTCTGAACGAGGCTTTTGTGTCTGCAACCCAATGTGGCGTCACACTGGCATAAGCACCTGTGACGAAAGCTGTCTATTAGCTTAGTCCCTCCCCCGAGTTAGATGAACAAGAATGTCTCAACTACGTGGTCAACAACCTAAATGTACTGTTCTTAGCTGTTACAATGAACATTTTTTAAAAATGTTTTGTCATTTAGCAGACGCTTTTATCCAAAGCGACTTACAAATGAGGACAACAGAAGCAATCAATTGTAGTATTAAAACAACTAAAAACAGATCCAAAACTAAAAGCTAAAACTTTATAAATACTACTTATACACATTTTAAAGAAATTAAATAATGACAAATGTATAATATAAAAACAAAGTTTCATAACATTTAAATGAAAAACATAAAATAAAGCTAAAAACAATTCAAAATATTAAAGAACAAAAGGTATGAGTATAATAATGATTCTAGCATAACACTAAATATACATAAGAGTATTAATTTACTCCCGGCATCTGAGCCACTGAAGACGCAGTCGCTCCGTTTTATTTTTGAAGGGAATGTGCCCAAAAATGCAGGCAAATACGTGTGTGTGTGCTAATATGGCAAGCCGTTTTGACTTTTATTCATTCTCAGGATATGAATTCTTGATATCAACAATTACATTTTTACTAGTTAAAATGTTAATTCTTGATATCAGGAATTAGATTTCTACTAGTAACAAATGCTATTTTTGATATCAGCAACTACATTTCCACTAGTAACAATGTTAATTCTTGATATCAACAATTACTTTTCAACTAGTAAAAACTATAATTCTTGATATCTGTAATTGTATTTTCACTAGTTAAATGTCACCATAGGCTGCCATTCAAAATCAATTGTTGATATCAAGAACTGATTTCTTACTAGTTGAAATTCCAATTTCACATATCAGAAATACAATTCTTACTAGTTGTAAGTTGTCTAGCTAGTTGTCTTAAAAATGTAATTGTTGATATCAAGAATTCATATCCTGAGAATGAATAAAAGTCAATACGGCTTGCCATAGTGCTAACCATTTTACACCAAACTGCTTCCTAAACGAGGGTCAGTACAATGCAGGATTTGCATCAAAGCTGTTAATCAAGGATGGATCAATACCAACTCTGCGTGATCACACCACTTCATATCTGAGAAGCACGAGTCGTAAACTCAGCCCTCTTCTGGAAAGGGGACGGGGAACAGCAGCTCGTTTGCATTAAAAAAAACACACACACGAAAACTTCGTTTATTTAGTTCTACCCAAAAGGGGCATTTACGGCAAAACGGAACAGAATATCGATGAGTCATCCAGCACTACACGGGTTCTTGTCCAATCAGATGCTCTCTAGAATGAGAATGTCCCTCCCACTAAATGGTCTCTCTTCTCTGCTCTAATCATGGTTCGTCGGTGTGTATTTGGCTGTTCTAACGCACGCACTTTATTTTGTTTCCCAACCACAAACTGGTTACGAAAAAAGTGGCTGGAATTTATACATTTTGAAGAAGGGGCTATTTGCGCCAGCTCGCGGCTTTGTGACAGGCACTTCTCTGACGAATCCTTCACCAATTTGGGGATGGTTACTGCTGGGATAACGTGCTACCTTACATTAGCAAACACGGCCGTTCCCACTCTGTACACTGTAGGCGCTTCCCCTCCCGCACGAGTAAGTATAGCGTTCTTCAGAAGCTTCTTAGACGTTGCATTTCTTTCATCAAACTGTAATCACTAAGTCTTCGCCTTGGAAACAACCTTTCATGTATGCTATGCTGGGTGACGTAGCGGCGTCATGACGTAGGAATCATTTGAACCGGATCTTTCGAGCCGATTCCTTAAAATGAACAGTTAAAAAAGAACCAGTTCGCGCCACAGAAAAGAGTCGGATTGCCAAACACTGAACGAGCATAGCAAGCGACGGACAGATATGGTGAAAAGGTGCGTTTTGGGTTGTTATCCGCACAAAACCTTGTTTCCTTTCCCCAAGCTGCCGTGGTTGCGAGCCCGCTGGCTTGAATTTTTACATTTTGAGGAAGGAGGAATATCGGAGAGCTCGCGGTTGTGTGCGAAGCATTTCGCCCCAGAATGCTTCACAAATTTACAACAGTACGACATGGGCTTCACTGACTTTCTTAGCTTGATAGATATGGCTGTTCCGACAATATACACCGTTGGTCCAGCACCGAGTGTGAAGGTACGTAGCGCCTGCCTGGTTAACGTTGCAGTTTATTCTATCGAAGAACCGCCCACTCTGACCGGAAGTGTCAACCAACCATGTTAGTTTTTTTACATTTAAAGGGACAGTTCACTGCAAAATGAAAATGGTCATTTACTCACCTAACGTTCCAAACCTGTATGACTTTTTGTTCTGTGGAAGACAATAGAATATAGTTTGAAGAATGTTTGTATCAAACAACAACAAAACCAGTTACCACTGACTTTCATTTTATGGACTAAAAACCCCTGAAACATTTCTCACAATATCATTATCATAGAAGAAACAAAGTGGATAAGTCTAGATAGTAGTCTCTGTGAACAGGTTTAACAGGTAACGTTTAAAAATGTGTAAACTTTAAAGCTGCAGTCCGTAACGTTTTTTTGGTTAAAAATGATACAAAATCAATATTTGAGTAAGTACATAACCAGCCAGTGTTCAAAACTATCGCCTTACTTTAGCCCGATTCACAGCGGTTAGCTTATTATAATGTTTTCTAATTTGAGTGGTACGGGTAGGTTTTCGCGGGAAATTCGAGCATGCTGGCTAGGGCTACAACAAACGATTAATTTGATAATCGATTATTCTGTCGATTATTTCGCTGATTAATCGGTAGACATTTATTGATTATTCAGCTTTTGCAATTAGCTAAAATATTGAGTTATACATACTCTGACAAATAAATTAAGGTAATCACTTCAGCTTTTGAAAGTCGTATTATGTAATTACAATTATACTTGGCACACAAAATGAGATGGCAGAGAAACTCTCTTATTCACCATTTAATTAGCTATATGAAAAAGTAGCTGAATGACACATCATTCTGCCTAAAATCTCTTTTTGTAAGTCATATGGATAAGAAACAAAATAAAGGTTAAGTGATAAGACGTTTTATTTTTTGATAAACTATATTATTCACAACATAATCTCTCTTAAAATACCTTATAGGGTTATGATAATCAAAACAGTCCTGAGCTAGATCAAGCTTTGATCTCTGCAAACCAAACTATAACTTTAATTAAATAATATTTTTGCACTACAGCGCCACACTGGTCAAACCGCGTTATTGCAGGCTCTTACATTAGGTCATATGAGATCAAACGACTACTCGACAACAAAATATTTGTCGACAATGTCGACTAATCGTTTCATCCCTAATGCTGGCGCGTCTTTACGTCACGTCTGTAAACATAAAGAAGTTGTCACGGCTACTAGGCTTTCTCATGTGGGACTGAGGATCCTGCAGGTGGCGGATCATTTATAGCCTTTTCTCTCACGTCTGTAAACATAAAGAAGTTGTCACGGCTACTAGGCTATCTCATGGGACTGAGGATCCTGCAGGTGGCGGATCATTTATAGCCTTTTCTCACAGCAGCTGGAATAATTAAGTGTATCATTTCGATGGTGGATTGTAATCCAGAAAGGACTATGTGTTTATCAAACACATGTGAATGAAATGAAATTATATTCCAGTTTTAAATGTGCTTCTGATTACAGATAGCCTGGGATTACACAAGATTTGTATTTTAAATACAACCAGTTCGATGGGAGCACAATTTGCTTTTTGAGTTAAAAAAAATTCTTAATATGAAATTCGAATGGTATGACAATTAGAGGTTAGACTGTACAGAAGTTGAAATCTACACGCTAATAAACACTATAGGCAATGCTGATGTTGTTAATATTAATTTGAGAATAAAGCATAACAATAATAATTTGCATGGTTTGATGTGATATGAGCTAACCGATCTTTAGATAAAATCACCATTGGTAGCGCAATTTATTCTAATGCTTATTTTCCTCAGTTGGTCAGAACAAACGTGGCAGACTTGTTACTTGTTCAGATGACAATATCCGGTGAAAATGCTTATTTGGGTCCTACATTCCAAGACAGGCTAGAATCTGTGATATCCACAACGGTGCGGTGACTGACTGCCACACATACTCCTCAAAACATTAGATTCATCCACGCTGGAGCCGCGCCGGATCACAACCCACGCAAGGAAGAAAATTCCGCAAACAGCTGCAATTGCAGGTTTTCAAACGGAGATTGCGACAAAGAGGCAAAACTTACGGACTGCAGCTTTAAAGTCAAAATGTCTCTGGTTTTGTTGTTTTCTAACAACAGAAGAGCTATAGAAAGAATATTTACATTGCTTTATTTCTGTATTTCTGCATCTTTCCAACAGCCAATCACACGTGAGATAGGCTGCCAGTGTAATGCTCTGATTCTGAAGAGCGTTGCGGTCCAAGCAGTACGCACCCAAAAAAAGCCAAAACGGAGAAGTAAAGGTAACATTTTTAGCTAAAAGTTCACTTGTGATTTAACAGTTTTGTGTTTTGCTTCACTGGTTTTATTTTTATTTTTATGTGGTTTAATAACAGCCATTCAAGTGAGACCTCTTTTGAGTCATTGTGCTAGTGTGTCCTGTTCCGATGAGGATTTTCCAGTCAAATCTGAATCTTCATTTACATTAACACCAATTAAAAGGCCACGCATGGAGGATTCCCCTGAGAGGTCTACACACAGCTCAGAAGAAGCAACAGATGACTCCAACTTGCCTAATATAATTAAAGATGACGACATAAAGTAAGTCTGTCCATGTTTAATTTCGGATGTTGTTCTGTAAACTCACAGCCAGCTATATGCTGGTATTGAACACCCACTTTTCAGGATTCAGTCAAATCCAGAATATACCTAAAGTTCACATCAAGAACAATAACAGTAACTATATTGGGCTACGTTCACACCGCGGGCAAATGTGGCCCAAATCAGATTTATTTGCACACTTGACTCAGATCTGTTTTTCTCATGACTGTGAACAGCACAAACCAAATGGAATCTGATCTTTTCAATTCCGATTTGTGCCACTTCCATGTGGTACTAAATCCCATACAGGTCAGATGTTTTGCAATGTGACCGCAGCCTAAACCGTCATATCGGAATTCATGTGACTTTTATGTCACTCAGTCTAAATGAACATTCGTCACGATTTTGCGCTCATGGGAGTCACTTCAAAGATTTTACATACCCAAAGTTATCAAGACAGTTGTGAAAGGTAGTCCGTGGAAGTAGTGTTGTCAGAACACTGAAGTATTACAGTGACAATTCTATATACAAGCAAAACATGAGGCATTGTATCATAAAAATTCAAAACTCTCTTTTGTCTCGTCCTTGTCTTTATTTTTCAGATCGGAGCAAAAATCAGAATTGAGCACTAAGGCTCGCAGTGTGACTGAGCCTTGGTGTCCACAGCAAATGTTCTTGGTTGCCACTTTAAATGTTCAAGCTCTTTAAACAGATTCTGACATTCTGTTTTACATTATTTTACATTAATGTGGTTTTACGGTTAAGAAATATTCTGAGTAACTGCAACAATATCATTATTTTTATAGTTATGGCATGGACTTCCCTAATCTTTATAGAATTGGAATGATTATTCAAACTTTATAGTTATCGTCTTTAATGTGAATAGTGTGTATCGGTCATATTACAGAAGTTAAACAAAGTATGCTATTTAAAATGCTCTGAATTACAATTCACAAGCTAATTTTATTTTCTAAAATGCTGATATATATAACTCTCTTGTGGTTAAGATTCAGCCCTCTCACAGTGACGGATTGGGTTCAAATTCTGGTCAAGGAAGCATTCTTTTGCTGTTAAAATATGTAAAAAAAAAAAAAAGCTGTGGAAGAGAAGTTACAGATCATAAAATAACATACAAATAGCCATTTTTACACTGTTTATTGAAAAAGCATACATAAGTTCATAATTTGTCAGTAATTCTTAATCATCTAATATTTAGTACTTAACACCCCTCTCCACATCCAACCAAGATTGCTCTGTAATAATAGTCAGAATCAAACCCGAAGAGGGAAAGGCAGTTATATTTCCACCTAGACGAAATCCTTATCAGTAATCTTGTTCATTCAGCAGGCCTGACCAGAAGGCCTGGTGTCAATTCATCCCTGTAAAACACAAACACATACCGTGTGCAAACAGTTTAAAATATGTCTTGGTCCATTAAATATCAGTTCGACAATGCAAATGATAAAACAACTGGTCCTGTAGTCCCAATTACATTCACTCCAACTCTAAACCTACAGGCATCTTCCTCTTCACATTATATCCAGCTTCAGAATAAAGATGACAAAAACTAGGTTTAAGATTTTTGCAGAGAATGCATAGTGCAAATGCATCATTCTCCAAGGATCTGTGCTTTAGTGTTGGAATAAAATCGAATGCTCCATAGAGCAGAAAAGTGTGAATGTAAAACACAAACACATACCGTGTGCAAACAGTACTCCCACAAACTTGGTCCATTAAATATCAGTTTGACAATGCAAATGATAAAACAACTGGTCCTGTAGTCCCAATTACATTCACTCCAACTCTAAACCTACAGGCATCTTCCTCTTCACATTATATCCAGCTTCAGAATAAAGATGACAAAAACTAGGTTTAAGATTTTTGCAGAGAAGATTGCTCTGTAATAATAGTCAGAATCAAACCCGAAGAGGGAAAGGCAGTTATATTTCCACCTAGACGAAATCCTTATCAGTAATCTTGTTCATTCAGCAGGCCTGACCAGAAGGCCTGGTGTCAATTCATCCCTGTAAAACACAAACACATACCGTGTGCAAACAGTACTCCCACAAACTTGGTCCATTAAATATCAGTTCGACAATGCAAATGATAAAACAACTGGTCCTGTAGTCCCAATTACATTCACTCCAACTCTAAACCTACAGGCATCTTCCTCTTCACATTATATCCAGCTTCAGAATAAAGATGACAAAAACTAGGTTTAAGATTTTTGCAGAGAATGCATAGTGCAAATGCATCATTCTCCAAGGATCTGTGCTTTAGTGTTGGAATAAAATCGAATGCTCCATAGAGCAGAAAAGTGTGAAGGTGGATGAGAAAGCATTTGGAAGAAAGGCCTGCTGGTTTAGTGTTTAGAGTTTGACAGTGTCTGAGTATATAGAGGCAATGGGGAATGCTTCAAAACATACAAAACCTGAAGGTAATACCGCATAAAAAGATACCACAATGTAACACCAAACTGTGCAAGAAGTTACAGAAGCATTCGCACCACAGCATCTACCCTGCAATGAGTAGCAAAACGGAAACAAAGTTTAAAGACAGTACACCCAAAAATGAAAAGCATCATGTACTCTCCATCATGTTGTTCAAAAACTGTGACACTTGTTCTTCAGTGAGAACATTTTTGGGTGAACTGTCCTTTTAAGAGGCCATAAAAACAACAACAAATAAATACAGGGAAAATTAGTGTTAGAACACAGCGACACTGAATTGAGGCAGATACACTTTGAAAAGCCAAAGAGTAAGACAAGCCATTCCAATCAAGGGTCTGAAACACCCATCCCTGGATTTACGTACCTTCTCAGAACGTCTGCTGCCAAATGGTTCAGCGACACTGAATTGAGGCAGATACACTTTGAAAAGCCAAAGAGTAAGACAAGCCATTCCAATCAAGGGTCTGAAACAGCCATCCCTGGATTTACGTACCTTCTCAGAACGTCTGCTGCCAAATGGTTAAAAAAAAAACACATTGCAAGCAGACTGTACTAACTGTATTGTAATGCCATCTCATAACACTGCTGACCAGTGTTATTCTGTAACATTTATCAGCACAATTTCCTCACAGCTGACACACACAAAAAAAAAACTTTCTGCAGCAGCTACACTCACAAACACACTTTGGAACCGACTTCGAGTGACCTTGAACGTTCGTCCAAGACAGTGTGATCAATCACATGCATATGGTTAAAGGTACTTATTTCAGTGGAACAACATCAGTATGTTATTTGAATTGCTTTGTTCAGTTTTAAAGGCTGGACAGATGCGAGGAGGAGATGTAGTGTGTTGTATATCCACTGGAGGATCACGTTCTTTAAGCATGACAAAGCAGCCGCAGTACAGAATTATGAATGTGCACAAAAAACCTTGACAGGCTGAAAATATGATGTTCTACCCTTTGACATAGGGTAGAAAAAATCTTTCTAGTGATGTCCAGGGGCCTCTCTCGTGTATGTCTACCGGAGTATGGGTCCTTTACCCCACAAATCATAGGTTGAGTTAGTCTTCATGCCCCTCACTTTCTGATCCATGTTCAAGTAAATGAGGTGGGGTCATGAGAATGAGAGAGACCTCAAGTCTAAATTGATTTGAATTCAAACTGGAATACCAAGCCGGTGCTTCTTTTTCTTAACAGGCTTGAGCCCTGTGAGTCTTCGTACATCGTCGTCACCATCTGAATCCTCCATTTCGTCATCTGCAGAAAACAGAATCTGACCAGCACAGGAGGAAGAGGGCAAAGAGAAAGACGGTGTTCAACTTATCTTTTTAAAAAACAAACAGATGATACTGAAAACATATCATCCTAAAAAGAGTAATACACCTCGCAAACCTAAATAAGTAGGTAATATTCTCTATTACATTCTGATTGAGCTGCTTATCCCCTTTACAAGTGAGAAAGATGGACTATAATCACTTGACTAAAACATCTGACATGTCAACGAATTAGTATGACACAGATAAAGCATGGATGGAAATGCCACACTCGAGATGACTGTTCTCTCACTGTCAAGTTCCCTCCTCAAATGACTTGCCTTGTCTCAAATCTAGCACAGGACATACATGTATTCAAGAGATGTTATTGGCTCAAACATTATATAAATACAGAAATATTAGTAGCATGTTAGTAAACCACATACACTGTGTTCTATTCATCCTAAAAAATTGTCTTCCACTGAAAATCAAGTTTGACCAGAGTTCATTACTGGATGTTTTGTTAATCAAAACAGTCTGTGCAGCCTTTTCTTTAAGGCCTACCTGCTTTGTTAGATTGTAAACTCACTGACTGATCATGGTTATACTCACTTCAGGTCAAGTGTTGGGAAAGATTAAGGAGCGGCCATGCAAATAATGGTCATGCATTTGTACTACGGAAAAAGGGGGATGTAAAAGGGGATGTCCCATCTAGGACTTGGGTAGAGGGATGATTTTGAATTTAACACTGTAGATCAAAGGAAAGCCCAAACTATAAATTCTGCCATTTAAAGCTGTTTGAGGAGCAAGAGGGTCTTGCCAAAGCAAGTCTGTTTAGATTCAGATCACAAATGTTTAGACTTTGTTGATTTTGATAAGTGTTTTATACATTCCATAAACTAATAAATGTTATTTATGTAATCATTTATGATTTTCTTTAATGGAAATATGTTTTATTCTGTGGTTTAAACATGCAAATAATTTCATTTCCAATAAAAATGTTAACATTACAAGTGTTTTTTTTCCCCCTCTAGAGTGTGACTTGGTTTAAAGTGGTTGACAATCATTTAAACCAGCTATGTTGCTGGTGCTCATGTCTAAAATTATTATGTAATTATTAATTATTACTCCCACTGAATGGGAGTCTATGGCAGCCCTATGAACGGAATGAGAAAGTGAGGAAATTTGGCACAATTGTAAAGATGGTAATGAATAGTGATTTGACCAATTTTGGAGTCTGTAGAATCAACTCTATGGCACCACAACCGGTTCAAAAATTCACTTTTCTAAAGCTTTTACATTTTGAACCATTTGTTCTAGAAAAATTAAGCTTAGTTCATCTTAATAATCTCCCCATTCTGATCACATTCAATAGCTTACATTAAGAATCCACCCATAACAGTAGTGGCCATTTTAAATAGTAAAGTATTACTTTTTTCGTTACGACAAAATTTTCCCAATTCTTACAAAAATTGGCTCCGAGGATCTTTGAACTGAGCCACACAGAAATGACTGAACAAAATTTAGATATTTTGGTCAAAAATTACGGTGTCATAATTACAATAATACATTATTGTAAAATTGTAATCGTAATAATACCAATTGTAAAAATTGGTTCAAGCTAAACTTGGTAGGCTGAGGGGACAAAGCTTCAAACCCTGGGTCAAAAATGGGTTGCCAGGATGATTTTAGGAAAATGTATATCTAAGATACATTAAAAATAACAAAATTAGTTTTCATAAAAATAAAATTAAATCATAGTATATGTATAAATATGCAAAGAATATCTGACTTAAGTAACTTTAATTAAACACGCATCCTTGCTTTATTTTACAAAATCACAAATGTTCTGTTGTTATTTTGTGTGCAAAAATAAAAGTAAACACTTTGTGCTTTCGAATTATGTCTTACTCTTATCTTTATTACCAAAATTATGTATTTTATGTTTCAGCTGTTAGATCGCGCCGGCACCTTGCGCACACACACACACACCACATATTCGCAACTCAAACATCGCAGTCTGTTCATTATCAAAATAAAATAGTCAATCAAAAAAAAGGTTACACTGGTCAATTTAAATAGTCTGTGGTATAACTGATCCACTTTGTATGCCAAGCACATTTTTGCTCATGTGAAGATGAGATTTCTGTCGATATATGAGCGCGCGTGAAGTACAAAGCCTCTACATTATAAATAATAGTTTTATTCAAATACAATCGCGAATATGGAAACATTAGGATTTGTGCCGAATGAGAGGTACGTGAGCCCAATTAACGCCTGGTACATTCAGTTTCGCTTTGTTTTGGTTTATATATTTTTTATTTCATTCTTGTTCTGTTCTGAATACATTTATATGATTTGTTTTGGAGTGAGCTGTATAGCTGTGTTTATAAGTTTATACATTATAATAGTTCACTTTATTTGGTATTATTTCTGGTATTATTACACTCTCTCCAAACGTTCTGCTGCTCACAAAACATCAATGAGAGCGAGTTTGAAGAAAGCTCACTGGTTACGGTCAAAAATATGTTGAGGACCAATGCATAACCTCCAAATATGCGCTCGCTCGTCATGATCTAATGGCAGATCCTTAAAAACAATTACCGGAACGAAAAATCCAAAATCTGACATTTTCCGGAACAGGATCCGGGTCAAATTAAGCACTGACCCAGTTTAACAGCCCGGTTGAAGAATAAAGGATTTAACTCGTGGGACCAACATGATCATGACCTTCTCAAACATCATGATGAGGATGTAGAGAGCACACTGACCCACCCAGGCACTGCACTGAACCGGCTCTCCTATGTGAAAACATTAGAAATACACTTCAAAACAGTGTTTTTTTTTCAAAACAGACCCAGTAAACCTCCAAGAGGGCCCCAAGATGACTTTAAAATAAGACAAAATAAGCATTAAAAAATCTATTTCAATTCAACCCCCCAATTTTCCCATGGCCTTGAAAAATGTGGATATATGAGGAAGCCTAGACCTGGAAAATCATGTAAATGAGTCGGGAGTGGGGGGCTGGAGTGAAAAAGGTTAAGAATCACTGCTTGAAAACATAATTTCCTGTTCATCATAAATGTATCTTTCACTGCCAATGAGATCACACAACCCTGTATGTGCAGTTCAGTGGTTAACCGAAACAAGAAACTGGTGTTAAAATTGGTGGGTTGAACTAGTTAAGTTAATTTCATCTAAATTAATTAAACATAATTGCATTACAGTGCCTTGAAAGATGGTCCGACTACTTTCTTTTGGAGGGAACCTTTATATAAAAACACTGTTAAATCATTGATTAGACTTATTGTTTGGTTTCAGACAGGCATTATAGTCCGTGAAGAACAAGATTTCTATCCTAATTTCAAATGAATGTAATTCAGTGAACACAAATCGAACAATGGTAAGGAATGAAAGGGCTGATTAAATTTCCCATTCATGAGTCTGAGGACTACCCTCTTTATATGAGGCCACATTCACATAAAGAAGCTCAGCGGAAGTGTCTAGTCCATGATTAACTCACGGTTCCCACTAGACTTTCAATTTACTCCTAACAATTGATGTTAAGGCTCATACCATACTCTCCAAAACGCAGCGAATCCCACTGTCTCCATTCAACCACAGCACTAACGGCCTTCACGCCGCCATAGATCACCAGCATGCCCAGTGTCGCATCCAAAAGGAAGTTGATCAGGTATCTGCAGAAAACAACACAGGGAGTTGGTCGCTGAGCACAGCTGATAACAAATATGTAAAAACCAGACACAAACACTACGGGAAGTACAACGATGTGTGGGGGAAACATTGAAACGACAACGTGCACACAGACTCACAGTGAACATGGGTCCTCCTCTGTGAGGTCAGACAGGTAGACATTGGCAAAGTGAATAAACAGCATCCCTATGGCCTGTTTGGAGGTGTCCAGAAACCTGAGAGAAGTGAAGGGGAGGAGGGGGCGGTGAGAGGGAGGAGACCTGGTTAGAACTCACCGTTAAATCACGAGGGGAACGGGGCTACAGAGGGCCGCTCAGGTCAGTGGAGTGCAGCATTGACCGTGCATGTGTTTAAGTATCTAGGGCAGGGCTATTCAATTGGCGGCCCGTGGGCCCAATCCGGCCAGCCAATCATCTTCATCCGGCCCGAGGGAAGAGCACGCTACGCGCAGGTAGCATGTACGCCTTGAATTGTTTTTGCACTAATTAGTTTGTCCACAAGGTGGCAACACTGGTCCGGGCCGTTGTTACACACAGCCAAAAAAGAAAAGGAAGAGACTCAACAACAACAGCCTACTGGAGACCACAACATCAATAGTAGTGATGGGAAGTTCGGATCATTTTACCGACTTGGACCTTTGAGTCTCGTTCAGCAAAATGAACAAATCTTTTTTCGAGTCATTTTGTTCATTTTAACAAAATATAATTAAAATGTTACGTGTTACTTCCCTAACACGTCTACTACTTACGTAAACGTTGATCACACTACAAACAATATAAAACTGCTATAAGAAACAGAAAAGATTAATTGTTTACCTGGGTCTTCAGTCTATGATTAGCTCACCACCTCTTATCTGACAAGTCTTTGAGTGTGGGCTTATGGGGCAGTCACGTGATGAACGAACAACTCGAAAAACCGATGACTCGAGAAGAACTAATCAATTATCTTTCTGGCTCAGACTGCATAGGGTAAACTTATGGGGCTGTCACGTGATGAACGAATGACTCTGAAAAACCCAAAGACTCAAACCAGGTGAACTACTTCACTAATTCCAGTACAGAACCTATAGGATGTTACGCATGCGCGACTGAACGAATCACTCCCCGAGACGACTCGTTCTTCCCGAGTCACATTAAAGATTCGTTCAAAACGAACGAATCATTCAAGAACGACCCAACACTAATCAATAGACGGCAGCGTTGACAAGCATAAAGGCAGGCGTTAAACAAGTATAAAGGCAGTGTTATCGGTCATAATTTCTGGCGAGAAATAGCAGACACTGGAAGAAGATGATTATCAAATGGAGTTTAGTTTGAAAGGCTGCGCGTTCGGCTGTACGCATGCGCTGAGCCACTTCAGACAGCGCACCAGTAGCACGTCGACAGAAACACACAATTATGTCAAAACTATAAAATACAATTTATAGTTTATGTGAAGACTGTTTTAAGTTCACTTAAATTAAAAGTTATATTTTTCAGAGCCTACTAAATGTTAAAAATAATGGCTTTCAGTTAAACTGTAATGTTGAATGGTTATAATGAATGGCTAAAATGAAAATACATTTAATAAAGACATCAGTAGCAGTATTGGTATCAAAAATACTAGCCTTTGTTAATAATATAGGCAACTTAGTAAAGAGATACCATTAAAGGGGTCATATGATGCGATTTAAATTTTTCCTTTCTCTTTGGAGTGTTACAAGCTCTTGGTGCATAAAGAAGATCTGTAAAGTTGCAAAGACTAAAGTCTCAAATCCAAAGAGATATTCTTTATAAAAGTTAAGAGTTAACCACACCTACCTAAAACGGCTCGTTCTAACACGCCCCCACATATCTACATCACTATGTGGGAAGATTTGCATAACGCCGGCCAAATCTTCACGCAAAGAAAGAAGGCATAACTTTTATTCTCGCTGTAGTATTGTTGCTGCAGCCATGTCGTGAAGAGCTCTGTGTTTCGTAGTGAAAGCGAAACTACTTTGTTTGGTTTTCCAAAAGAGGACACGACTACAAATCAGTGGTTAAGTTGTATTTACAACACTGTTCCAGAACAGTTTAACCCAAATATTCAGATGTGTGCAGCACATTTTATGGAGGACTGTTTCCTGATCCTGGGAGAGTAGACTATAATGCCGGCTGTTCTGACTCACAGACTGCAAGTACGTTTTTTATATTTAAAGAATTTGCCACTGATGATTCAAACGCAAGTTTTGGCCAGTGTAGAGTAGTACTTGCTGTTTGTCATTTCTCCGATCACAAATGCAGACAGGGTTTTATGTTTATGTGGCGCGATGCAACGCAACGCGTAAAAAGACAGTATAAGTCATTATAATCAGTAATTATGTCCCCACTGGATGCAACAAATGCCTCGTTTGTTTTTGTCTCGTCGCTCCGGCCGGGACACGGCATCAACAGTATGGTAAGGGGCGTAACCTTTCCGTCACACGCTTGAGGTATTCAGCCAGTCACAACGCACTGGATAGCTGGCCAATCACAGCACACCTCACTTTTCAGACCAATGAGCTTTGTAAAAATCGACGCGTTTCAAAAAGGCGGGGCATAGAGGAGAAACAATAATGTACAGTATGTGGAAAATAATGTGTTTTGTTTTACTTTAAACCGCATAAACACATTTCATTACACCAAATACACAAAATAATGTTATTTTTAACAGCATCATATGACCCCTTTAAACACATTTTTTAAATATACCACCATTATGTTTCTACATTAATTTGGAGGTTCAATGTGAAATTATGACAATATATTAATATGCAATTAATCACAGAAAAATGTGTGATTAATTCGTTAATTTTTTTAATTGACTGACAGGCAGCACTAATGTTAGCCTTTTATAGATGTTGGTGTGGGTAATGTTACTTCATTTTACTGCTGAATATGCATTTCAATTTAATTTCTAATTTTATAGGCCCCACAGAGAGTGATCGGGATGCCCCCCACCCCCTTGGCCCCCTTCAAATTTTCAATTCAATAATCTGGCCCTCGAATGAAACTAATTGAATAGCCCTGATCTAGAGCTTGCTAATGACACAAAATGGCGGTTTACCAGATTCTCCAGGGTCTCCGTTCGTGCTTGGGCTCCCTGAAGTGTTTCACTGTGGAGAGGAAACACAAGCTTTCATATCAGAAGCAGGAAAAAAAGGGTGATCAATAATGTCTGCCACATGGGGGTAGTGCTACTGATGCTAAAAACCTCTTTCCTGGCTCTATCAGATACAGTGCTACAAAAACACAGAGGTCAATAAATGATACATGAGATTAACATTTCAAAAGGGGAAGAGCTGAATGAGGAACTGCTCCATCACAGGTTTAAAGAGTTTTCTGCATTCACATGCAAAACCAAAACACAATGCGCAATTGAAACAGTCATTACAAAATTTTATTTTTCCCTAAGAAAAAAATAATAAAAGACTGCAAAAAAAAAAGAATTAATGTTTTCTTTTTTATTTCTATTCTTTTAATAATGCAATTTTCATTATTATATTTTTATACAATATTTTTTCTTTATATCCCCCAAAATATAAAAATATTATTTTAAAGAGGTGCACTGAATGTATGAACTGTACGTTTATGTTTTTATATACATTTTTAGATTCTGACAACAAAAACATTGTAAACTGCATTGGAGAGGACAGTGATAAAGATAAAAACAAATGTCATTGCTGGCAGTGTTGCTTCAAAAGAAGCAGTGAGAATTGCTGCTTTTTAGGCTGTGGAAACCGCTAGTGCAGCCACCCTAGTTTCCAAACGTGACCCAATGGTTTACACAAATAAAGGGCAGCCTGTTTCACACAATGGCTGTTTGTTGTGTACAGCTATTAACTGTGTCCTCTGAACACAATCTCTTACTCTTTACAATTACAGCTCACATAACCACTGAGAGATGATGACACATAACTTACAATTTCACACATCTCGTATATTCCTCTGGATTACCCTGTTCTAGGGTTTGTTTGTTTTTAACTCTATTGAGTTAAGAGACCTAAGAGTCAGGTGATCTCTGGGTCACTTGATGGGTCATAAAAACAATGACAACTAGTAAAAATATATCTTCAACTTTAAAACATGCTTTAATACAGTCTATTCTATTTTTGTGAGAAGTTCTCTTATGCATACAAATACAAAATTATCTTTTTTTTAAAGAAAAAAGTGGCTCAATGTGATCTCAACGATATCATTCCTCTGTGTTGTTGTTGTGGTTTTGACTCCACTATATTTAGAGTGATTTTTTGAAACTTTATAGTCATCGTTCTTGGTATGAACATCCCGACACAGATTCTTTCATGTCAATGAGACATGTAAGAAGTGTATGCAAGTACACACATGCCCAAAGACCAGGGGTCTGTAAATGACCTAAACAAGTTAAGAAGATCTGAGGGGGTGTGGCCAAGCAAAAACCAAAGATCCAACATTATGTACCCTTTAAATGTGCTCACAGAGTCTTTAATTAAAGTACTGTGTCAGGTTGACAGTGGTGAGCATGCAGGTGCAGCACTGCACTGAATGATTCACAAACATGCCTTGACCTGCGCACTTCTAGGACCAAACCCTTAAGTCTTCAATGAGTCAACCTGAATTGATCAAGTTCCTTTAATGTTGCAAAAAAAAAAAAAAAGTACAGACAGATCTGTTTATCCATATTATGACATATGAGTGTACACACATTTGAGTGTAACAGATTATTGAAAAAATTGTGGGGCAACAACTTGGTCCAATGCATCGTTGTTTAATGGATTTTGAGATGTGGCCGTTGTGCTCAAAAGTGGAGGCAGAGGAATGCGAGTTTATAGGGACTCGTTTAAGCGGACTAAATGACTGGATGGGTGCCATCAGAATGAGAGTCCAAACAGCTAATAAAAATTTTGGATAATACAAACATGCAGCTTTTCGCTTCACAAGATGGTTATTGATAGACTGGAGTCGTATGGATTACTTGTGGATTATTGTGATGTTTTTAATCAGCTATTAGGACTCTGATGGCACCCATTCACTTAAGAGGATCTATTTGGTTAGCAAGAAATGTAATGCTAAATTTCTCAAAATCTGTTCCGATCAAGAAACAAACTCGTGTACATCTCGGATGGCCTGAGGGGGGAGTACATTTTCATTTTTTGGGATTAACTACTCCTTTAATGAAGACAGTTACCCTATACTTACACATAAGGGTGCTGAAGGCCACCACTCCCAGAAGGCCCTGCAGGAAGATGCCAAAGGAGTCCATGAAGTCCCCGCTTGAGCAGCCCCGGGTATCAGGATCAGTGGGCGAGGAGTTGGAGGATGCAGACGGCAGCTGACCCTGCGACAGCACGCTGACCCCAACACCCGCCATTGCGCAACACTTGGTGGATCACGAGTCAAAAAAAGCCAGAAAATATCAGTCTCGAGAGGTGGAGATGATCGACAGGACGATGACACAGCTAGGGTACATAATGAAGGCTCTCCTGAGCCTCCAGTCACGGTTACTGAAGCGCAGATATATCGTGTTTCATACTGGACCTCGATGCGTCGCTATCCAGAGCTACCTAATGTCTGTCAGCAGGTTGTGCTGTATAAACATCTCCTTCAGCATCGAGTAAACATGCTACAGACTCAGATGTGTAATGGGAGCGGTTGATGCTCTCAATACTACAACACACACACACGTTGTCATGGAGACATTTATCGGTTATATTATTGTACAGCGCGTGCGGTTAGCTGCTAGAATAAAATACTGTGGCTTTACGGTTAAATTAAAGCAGTTAAACGGTTACGGTTAAATTAACTTAGGAAATAAGACTTTTAAACCTTTACTTCCCGTTATAACGCGTTTTGAAAGGCAAATATTACGCGGCTGATTTGGTAGTTCTGCTGTTTTATAGCGAGAGTCCGGTCAGGCGCTCCTGCTAGCAAACCAGCTGAGGAAAAACCCGCCACCGCTGCTTTCAAGAAAATAGCTGATTCTCAATCTGCTCAGATTCAAGAAGGTAGGCGCCCAAACTAGTCACATACGTATCTGGAAAAGAGAAATATTATCCGTAAAGGCAGGACACATCCTTTTCCAATGTATTCTTCTTCTTCCTCTTCTTCTTTGTGTTCAATGGCCGTTCACTCCTTAGGAGTATTTACCGCCACCTACTGTATATCTTGCGCACATGGGAGATGAATCTGTGTTGCTATATATAAAAAAAAATCATAATTGTAATGCCCCACCCACCCCAGAGGATCAGAGCCCAAGCTTCAGCTGGCACTGCGTGTTCAGCTCCTCCAGCTTCCACACTGTGCTCCTCAACCTCCGAGATGATCCTCATCCTCAAACACTAAATCCTGTGGTCTAGTCCTGTAAGCTCTTAATGTTAAAACCACCTTAAATATCTGATTATCACTCAAAACCTTTCCCAGAAGGTCCACGACGCTCATTGGCCTGTTCCTTATATTGCAAAAAAAAAGTCATATCATATCTACTACATTTAAAAAGCACATGCTCTACTGTTTCAAAAACATCACATTCATCACACATACCGTTTTCATGCTTCCCCATTAATACAAGTGTTGCATTTAGTCCTGTGTGTCCCATCCATAATCTAGAAAGCATTACTTCTTCCTTTCTGTGCCTTCCATAAAACTGTTCTTTTTTCCCCAACTGATTTTACATTATTATAATACCACCTACCTGTGCTGTTATTTTCCCATCTTTGTTGCCATATTCTTATTATTTTCCTGTTAATTACTGATTTGATCTCATTTCTTCCCAGAGGTAGCTTAACATCCACCAAGTTTTTCTTTAAAGCTTCTTTTGCTAATTTATCCGCTGTTTCATTCCCTGCTATCCCGATATGTGCCGGTAGGTTACCCAACAAAATTATACCCTCTATTTTCAGTCTGAACAGTAATGTATACATTTCTACTAGCAGGTCTTCTCTATCAGTTTTTGTTGACAGTATAGGCTACTTTTAAGAGCTGATGAAGAATCTGAGCAAATAACAATCCTATTTGGCTTAATCTGTTCTACCCATTGCAATCCTACTATTATAGCAGTTAATTCTGTAGAATATACAGACAATTTGTCACTTAACCTTAAACTTATTTTTGTCTTAAATCTTGGAATGTACACAGAGGCGGACAGTAAGGTACATTTACTTGAGTGTTGAACTTAAGTACACTTTTTGAGTATCGGTACTTTACTTGAGTATTATTTTTTCTGGAAACTTATGACTTTAACTTCACTACATTTGAAAGACAAATATTGTGCTTTTCACTCCACTACATTTCTATCAAGGTCCTCGAAGTAGAAAGTCGTTATTATATAGCAGCTTTGAAAGTCAGTGGGTGATTTTTTTTCTTCTCTAAAACGTGACTTTCTTTTTTTCAGACAGTTTATCAGTAATCACTCTTGGGGCTTCATGAAGTGATTTCCCAGCATTTTCTGAGCACTGACCAGTTCCATATATTATATTTATTTACAACAATTCAATAACAAGAAGTTAATATTGTGGTTTATATTAGACACAATATTGTCTGATTTTGCTAAATTGTGTACGTGAAAATATTACCTATAAAGCCATAGAAGAACTGTTGTGCGTCTCCTAATAAAACACAAAAGGTGTTTGACTGAAGCAGCACTGCACAGACCATTCTGTGTGTGACATCAAAGAACAGCGAGAGCGATTAGACAGCATTTTTAACATTTTTGTTATGATTTCACTGTCCACTCTGTTCAAATGTGGATGAATGGCTTCACATAGATGTGTCCAAAGCTGTGTGAGATCACTACCATCCTGCTTTTGTGGGGGTGGGTAGGGGTGTTAAATAATTTTTTTGTTTTGTTTTTCCCCATAGGTTTTTAACATTTTAACAAAAGCTCTTTATTCCGAAGATACTACAAGCTAGTCAGTGTATTCAGTAGGTGTAAGTTGCTGTAAGTTGTAAGTTGCTTCAGAGGTATTGCAAGTACAGTGCCTTGTGAAAGTATTCATACCCCTTCATTATTTTCATGCTTTATGTTGCTGCCTTATGTTAAACTACTTTAAATTACTTTTTTCTACATTCTACACTCAATACACCATAATGGTAAAGCAAAAAACAGGTTTTTAACATATTTGACAATTTAATAAAAATAAAAAACTTAAATGATTCCATTGCATAAGTATTCATATCTGGGACAGTTGAAATTTAGCTCAGGCGCATTCATATTGCTTGTAGATGTTAATACCCTTCGATTAAAGTTACCATGTGGCAAATTCAGTTGAATGGGTATGATTTGGAAATAACCTTAATTTCAAGCATCACGTTTGAAGGAAACCAGACACTGCTTATCACCTGCAGAGTATCATCCCAAAAGTAACGTGTGGTGTTAGCAGCCTCATGCTGTGGGGCTGTTTTTCAGCGGCAGGGACTGAGGGACACATTAGAGTAGAAGACAAGCTCAATGCACCAAAATATAGAGATATCCTTAATGAAAACCCAGTCCAGAGCATTCAGAACCTCAGACTGGGCAGAAGGTTCACCTTTCAACAGGACAATGACCCTAAGCACACAGCAAGAGTGGCTTATAGACGACTCTGTCAATGTCCTTGAGTGGCCCAGCCCCATCCTGGGCTTGAACCTAATCAAATATTTCTGGAGAAACCTGAAAATGTGCATCTGCCCCCATCCAACTTGACAGAGCTTGAGAGGTGAACAGGTGAGGAGAAGAATGGCAGATAATTGCCAAATGCTGATGTGCAAAGCTTGTCACATCAAACAAAAACAATTATTTGAGGCTGTAAAGGTGCTTCCACTAAATATTTAGTTATAATAATGTAATAATGTACTTATTTCAGTTTTTTTTTATTTTTTATAAATTACGAAGTTGTGGCAATTCTGTTTTTGCTTTGTCAATATGGTGTATGGAGTGTAGATTGATGTGGGAAAAAAGTACTTTAAAACAGTTTAACATAAGGCAGCAACATAACAAAAAACGTGAAAAAAAAGGAAGGGGTATGAATACTTTCGCAAGGCACTGTATTACATACAACAATAATAAAACAGTGCATTCACATAAAAAAAGGAAATTTACTTTTGGTACTTAAGTACTTTTAAAAGCAAGTACTTCTGTACTTTTACTTAAGTAAAAATCTGTATTTACAACTTTTACTTGTAATGGAGTAATATTTGATCAGCAGTATCTGTACTTTCAGTCAAGTAATGGAGTTGTGTACTTTGTCCGCCTCTGAATGTACACTCCTATTCCCACTTTTTGTTTGATTGGGTCTTTAGATCCATCTGTATTGATCTGTATAAAAATAGGAATAATTTCTTAATAATTATTCTAATAATTTAGAATAATGTTTCTATAAAACATTGATTTCATAACTATTAGTATATCTTTCTTCTGCTTTTTCCCGGGCTTCCAACAATCTCATTTCAACAATAGGTTCAGGAATATTCCATACCGATACCCAATTTAATGGCATGTTGGGACAGATTACTTAATTCTCCAAACCACAATCCTTGACCCACTGTTCATATTTCCATCCAAAACTATTTCCTCCTTTCTTTTTATATTCCCAACAATCATTTAAAACTATGCGTGTTCAATGATTCTTATTACTACTAGGGATGGGCGATACCTCTTATTTTATTTTCGATCCGATACCGATATTTTCAAGCCCAGTATCGTCGATATCGATACCGGTACCGATACCTTAAAATATACCGATACCTCACATAAAAATATCGATTCTAAAGTGCATTTTTTTTAAACATTAATTTAATTTACTTATCAAGAAATTCGGTGAATAAAAAAGCTTCTAAGTGGAAAAATAGACTATATTAGCGAATACTTGTGTTGGATAGAACCATTTCTCCTGCTCATCGGAACACACGCAAATGCTGAAAGACAGAACCAACCAATAACAGACAGCGTTTGCTGCTGACGCATGGCTCAGAGTGCTTGTTCAAATAGGGCTGCGTTTCCCAAAAGCATCAGAAGCATTGCCACATTATTACATTACATTACATTGTTACTATATATAAAATTAATTCTGAAAAATGCATCACGGTTTTCACACAAATATGAAGCAGCAATAATAATAAATGTTTCTTGAGGAGCAAATATTATAATTATTTCTGAAGGATCATTTGACACTGAAGACTGGTGTAATGATGCTGAAAATTCAGCTTTGATTACAGATACATTTTAAATTAAATTTTAAAATATATTAAAATAGAAAATAGTTATTTTTAATTGTTATATTTCTCAATATTGCTGCTTTAACTGTTTTTTTTGTTTGTTTTTTTTAAATAAGTGCAGCCTTGGTGAGCATGAGACTTAAAAAAAATATTACAGAATCTTACTGACCCCAAACTTTTGTGTACATGTAATATTTATTTTAAATTGGCTAGTTTGTGCAAGTACATTTATTTAAACTGGTTGTTAAAAGTTCAAATTGATTGTGTTATGTTCTGTAATTGCTGTTAATAAATCTGTCAGAAAAAAAAA